TGGAATTCCCACACCTGATGCAACCATGGTGAAGCAATGACTTGCGATTTTTCAAGATTTTCACAATATTTCACGAAGTTAAAAAGTACATAGAACACAATATAGTGGTCATTGGCCTCCGGCCTCATCTCATACATATCAAATACATTGAAAGAAGTGTACTTAAGTACACATTACATACGTGGAATCAAATATACATATTTTGACATATAAGTCTACAAAATGACATTTCATTTTAACATTTGCATGAAATGGAAACTTGAAAGCTACACGACATCCAATGAATGCTAGGCGCCACGAACCAAGTCTTCGTACCTGAAATATGCCCCAGTATTGTAGGGGTGAGTAACATAAAGCTACTCGTAGGAGATGAGCATGCATCGACCTAGTATTTTACAAATTTATCACCTTAAGGTGAAACATGTTAAAGGGGCTCATGCCACCTAACATCTATGTCCAAGTGAGACTCGGGGAGCATCCTAAGCTACCTTAGAGTCTAAGCAACAAGAATCATGATATACATACGTGTATGAAACGAATCATGGTTGGGATAATCCAAAGAACACGACAGGAAGAATGCTTGAGCATAGATTAACATTAATTACATTTTCAATACAATTGAACTAGGTCTAGAGTAATCCATACAACATGACCAAAGCATATTTGAATACAAGTTAACAAGAATCACATTATCCATGCAATTCAACAACGAAAGAGCATGTTATACAATGCAACAAGGTTTAAGTTCTCAAAGCCATCAACTTAGAATCTAAAGCACAAAATAACAGTAGTGGTTCATGCCACCTAACGTCTATGTTATAAATGAATCAATAGGATCAATCCTAAGCTTTATTAGAACGTCAAAACACGATTTTCAATATCGATGCAATTTAACCAACATTGGAACTTCCAATACAATGCATAAAGCACAATTTCGCAAGTTAACATCCTGTAACTTAAAATGGAACGACAAATAAGAAACAACATGTTACAACATCATCTAGTTATCAACTTGAAAATGAAATGCGAAATCAAACAAAGTGGATATTTGGACATCACGCCGGATCAGACCGATAACATAGTTACTTTAGGGTTAGTAGCCCATGGGTAACCTCCCTATGTGCGTACTAGACTATAAATAGAGGGACTATCCCCAGTACTAGAACCACGTCCTAGCCATAGTCAAACAACGACATCCCCAAGTTTCCAAAATCAACAAGTTATGCAACAACGCATGTATCAACAGGAATATGCAAGATAATCAACTATCTACTAAGCACAACCAAATTTGGAAACCTATACAATACATGCTCTAAATCCACAACTAATATGATATGATGAATGTCGAATCTTCAGTGTGCGATTCGTTACACGCTATGCATGAAAGATGTTAAACACGAAGTGTGTAAATCATTACACAAGGCAACAATATATTCAATAAGGAAAACATATTCTTATGAATACAAACATAGCAACTATGTTATCCAATGTTCAAAACATAACCAAATGAATATACAACAAGTCTAAGTCCATGATTTGAATATAGAAACCACTTCTAAAACATAACTAGATCATGGAGCAAATTGATAGAATTTAAATAGATAAACACAATTAAATTTTCTAGATTTCCGATTCAATTTCAATTAACCTCAATTTAATACATGTTAAAGGGCATGGCAAGGTCATCACCAATATCCATTCTAAAACTCAATTAGGTTGTTAGAACAACAAAGTAGAACTTTAATTAAATCATGCTAATTTAAATCACAAGGTTCTAAAACAACTTCGAATGGTCCTAAATTAATATATACTAGTAAACAAGTCATGGCCAATACAAATATCAAGTTAAAACCTTAATTAAGCTAATGGGACCACAAAATAGATTTTAATTAATTCTCTTAATTAAAATCTCTAGATTTTTAAACTTAACCAAATGCTCTCAAATTAACCTATGTTGGAAAACATGCCAAGGACTAATGTAATATCACATTACAAGTTTATTTCATTCAATTTACGACCATGCGAATTAAACTTTCACTAAAATTAAACATAAAACAAAAGTTGCAATTCTTATGCAATAAATCCCAATTTAATACATTTGAACAACCATACCGAAACTTAATTTTCTAGCATGCCACAATACAATTCCAAGTTGTATATCACCATGAGGATTAAATCTTAAACATGGAATTTAATTAAATGAAGGGTTTGAAAACCTAACCGAATATTCTAAATCAAATATATGTGAAGCTATATGGCATGTAAGTCAAGAATATCAAGTCGGAATTTAAATAGAGTGAATAGTGCACTCGGGGCAAATTAATTAATCAAATTAATTAATAATTACTAATTTTCAAAACACCTCCAATCACTTTCAAATTCAACTATGTGGGAGAACATGCTAAGGCCTAATTTAATATGCTAACACATATTGATTTCAAGCTAGTTAAGGCCATGTGAATTAATCTTTCACCTAAGATAAATATTAAATAAAATCTTTAATACTTATTCAAATGTTCCAATTTTAATACACGACAATGAGCATATCGAGGGGCAATAAAAAATCATGCTACATGTTTAAACCAAGTCATGAGCAACCGGGAAAATTAGATCCCGTATAAGAAAAATAAATAATAAAATCTCTAGATTTTTTATTTAATCATGCAAACAAGTAGTATAAGTTTCACAAGCATGCTATATAACAAGAATTTAAACCTAGAACATCCCTTACCTCAATTTTAGATGAAAATCTCAAAAGCCATCATAATGGAACGGCTCCGAATCCGACGAAACTACTAGGTTTTGTCGGGGACAACGCCGTGAACATAACCCCCATGAAAGCCCCATCAAAATCATAACTTGACCTCAAAACCAAACTCAAGAAAATGGTCAAAACTAAATTCTAATAAGGGGGAAAGGTAGAGCACGGCGAGGGGAACAACAAACGTTAAGGCTGAAGACTTTCCATCAAGGAAAAGTGAACCAAAAGAGGAGAGAGAAGATGGAAGCACCCCTTGGGCTGCCATGGGAGCTCCAGGTCGTGCATGAAAAGGAGAGAAGATGAAAAATGAAATATCTCACCCCCCTTTTATAGAAATCTCAAAAAGTGCCCCGAACGGGCCCCACCGGGTCCGAAAAAGTAAAATTTGAGCAGACGTGCTCAAATGGCAAAACTTTGTGAACAAAAAAGATTCAAAATAATAAAATATGAACAACGGAAGAGAAATCGTCAAAAACTGAGTCTCGAGCAGAAAGTTATGCCCAAAACAAGTTTGGCGAAAACCGAGGCCAGAAACCCTGAAACTGGAAAATATCGACCAAGAGGAAATTCCAAGAGTACACAACTCGACGAAATGTTAAAATGAATCTCATATGAGGATCCAGGCTCAAAACAAGACATTTTGTAATAACTTTCATTAATTGCACAATGGCCCCTCCAAAAAGTTAAAACTGCACTTATGGCCCAGAATGAAAATATCTTCCAAAAATATTTTCTTAAAAACCCCTGAAATAAAATATCTTCAAAAGATAATTACGAAAAATACCTCAAGAAAAGAAAATAATTTCAAAGAACTTTGCATCCACGCCCCTATGGACACCGGGAGCAACCAGAGTACTTTCTTGTAAAAGTAAAGATACATATTTCGTGGAAACCACTCAAGATGAAGGCACGTGAAGTCAAAAACCAACTCTGAGCATGAGAAGTGAGGTTGTGCCAAAAACTGACAAACGAAGATAAAATAGAATAGGGAAAATGACGAAATAGCGCATAGTGTCAGAAATAGCGCATAGTGTCGAAAAACGAAAAATGTGAAAATGACTCGGTCCTCAAAGGAAGTTGTCAATCCACGGAAAAGAGTCTCAGGAACCAATTTCGAGCACTCGAGATGACACTAAGCGACACAAAACAGAGCTCAGAAAAGAAAATTAAACAAAAAAAATGCATTTGTAAAATTTCAAGAAAAAGGAAAGGAAGGCAAATGACCGGGTCGTTACAACTCTAACCTAACTAGGTGAATATGTGTATGTTCTAAGAAGACAATAGTAAAATCAACTTTGATTTTCTGTGAGCAGAAATCTTCCTAAGGCTTTGTATAATATATGAATAATGATGTAAAAGCCATCCCTAAACCTTGTATATGACATAGTTTATATAGAGGTTTGCAAAGTCCTATTCCTTCTAGAAATAAAGGAAATTTCATGCATATGACTTGGAAGGAAGGTTGGATCAAAAAGGTATTCAACAAAACAAGGAAACTGGAAAACCTTTTGTAATCAGGACTTACGGAACCGATTCCCACTTCTGGTACCGGTTCCCAAAGGACAGAGAGTTTTCTCGAAATATAGCTTCTAGAACCGATTCCCAATCATGGCATCGGTTCCCACTTGATAGAATCCACCTAGAGCTTGGATTTTCTGTATTTTTTGAACTCTAAAAATATACCATGTATATTATTGTGTCCTAAGTGGGAAACGATGTCCTGATGTAGTGTTCTTTCCTGTTCGATGAATATCAGTACCTTCCTTTCCTGTTCAACCACTGAATTCCGCAATCGATGTGAAGTGTGATATGGTAACTGTAATTACAACTCGATTATGACTTGTTTTGTTACCGAAATATGCCAATTACAAAAATATATCTCACAGCTTGAATCTATTATATATACAAGGAAAGCACGCACCTTTACTAGGAAGTTGTTTACTCCGGCTGTGGTGATCAAGCAAATTGATGAGTGCATAAGGATAAATTCGGGGACTATCGTAGTGCAAGGGCGGTTGCCCGTGCCTTGTTTCTTTCGAGCACTGTCTTCACTGAAACTCTCAGTGATTGATTCTATGTTTTATATTTTTTTGTTTCTCGTTGCCTCTGGTATGGGGTTGTTGCAGGGATAGCAATGGCTTCCATTTTGTAGTGGGCTGGAGTTGGGTTTTAGGCTTTGGCCTTGTGGCAAATAAAATAACAAATAAATAAATAAACTTAATACTAACATCATGCACCAACTATCATTTTATTTTAATACGTACTCATGCTCCATAAGACATAAAAAGGAAATACATATTAATGCCTTACATATTAATGCCAAAACGTGAGTAGTGTGACCTCTTATACAATATATATATATATATATTACATCAAACTCAACTGGTAAAACTATAGTCCGAGTGACTACTTCTCATACTGCTACTATTCTCCTTTAATTACTAGGTTCTTATACTCGCAATAACATTGTATTAGAGCTTTGTTTAGTTATATATATGATTCTAGCTACACCCAAATAGCTCCACCGCGGATGAGCTCTTGGACTAGTTCGCCCCTGACATGGAGGCTCGTCACCTGTTTCGCACCGCCGACCAACTTCTGCCCTATGTACACAACAGGTAAACATTGATTTCCTCCGAGTTTCCTTTCGATTTCGTCTCCATCTGGATGGTGGTCGAGCTCATAAACGATAGGATTCGCCCCAAAACCGCGTATCAGTTCCTTAATGGAGTGGCAAATGCAACATGAGCTATCGCCGAAGATGACCACAGGATATTCACCAACCAAGCTCTTCACTGTATCCATCTCTACAAATGATCAAGAACAATAAGATAATGAAGTAAGAGTTTGTCAACAGAGGAGAGATCTAGAGGAAGAATATGAGATCTAGGAGCCTTGGGATGAGCTAAGACTTTGCTTTGAAGAACATGAGAGGTCCCATGGAGGTTATATATAGCCCCAGGGGTAGTGGTTTACATTGCATAACATAAAGTGAACAGCGAAAAACGAGAAAGTAACAATGTTCCGAAAGAGCAATTTTTAGATTCTAAAACATGTTTCATCATTGTTTGATTAGGACCTGAAATAAAAAGTTTTTTGGTTTTTTTGGAGGGTTAAGTAAACATACGATGTCTCACCACTGAGACTTGAATAACCAACCGACTTTCCCTTTGGAGAGAATATTAGTGCTTTTCCAATTGGGTAGCTTTTTTCTCCCCCATGATAACATTCGCAACAAATTCAGACTGGGACTGAAGAAAGCCGAAAGCTAATAGAATAAGTGCAAATCCTCTGTAGTGTGATTCTCATGTTGTCTCCGGCAGTGAGTATTAAGTGATCTATATTTGGTCACGTTTTACTTCAATTAACAGACACTAAGACTGTTTTGACAATTATATCACCATTTCATTACTATTTATAAGTAACATCTAGGAATCCAAAAGTAACATCAGCATTTGTAAGAATGTAACATCACCCCTTAAAAAGTAAAGATTGTTGACAGCAACATTAACAAAATAGACCATTTTCACCCTCAAAATAAGGTATGCACATAATACAAATTAAGTAATGTCACATTCAAACGTAACTCAATTCAACATATCATTTTTGTTATAATTTGAAATTAAAGTATTTTAAAAACACTTTAACATGTTAATTTAAAGAATTTAAACCAAACTTCAAGTCACTTGGATTAAATTTAGGCAACAAACAAAACACTTGTTTCCAAAAATAATGAAAAGTGCCACATCTTTTTTTTTTCCTTCCAATATTAAAAAAACATACACTTGGGTATAAATTATTTAACATATGTTTGAAAAAAATTTAGCAAAGTTTAATATTAATTGTTACGTACACTCACCACCTTCAACATCAAAAGAAAAAATTTGACAAAGTATAATATTAATTGTCACACTTACCACCTTCACCATAAAAAAAAATAAAAAAATAAAAAAATAAAAAGAAAAAGATATTCACATAGTACTGAAAAATCAATAGTCACACATAAATCTAACTCAATTCAACATATTATTTATATATTTTTTAAGTTAAATTTTATCATTAAAAATAGAACATCCAAAAAAAAATAGTCACATGTTAATTTAAAGAGGATTTTGAAGGGGATTATGAGGTATTTGGTTATCAACAACCTTTACTTTTTAAGTGTGATATTACTTATAAATGGTGGTGTAATTACCCAACGCAGACTGATGAGCTATTTTATAAAGAAATACGCGACCAAACCAAGGTCTCAAATCAGCGGACAGAAAGAGACTACAAAGATAATCACAACAGAGGATTTGCGCCCACCCATATGGTGTCTGTCAGTCTGTAGCTTTCGGCTAATTGAATAGCCGAAAGCTAGTACAGTATATAATTATATATAACCTCCATACCAGCTAGAAAGGAGAAGAACAATACATTCCTTAGGGACCTACCAACAATATCTAACAGATGCTGCTTAGATATTCTCTTTTTATACATATAATAAAATCACATGTTAATAATGTTATTAATTAGTTGAACCATGCGAGCAAATCCATATTATATCATCCTTATGGCGTCATATGGTACTTTGCAAAGAAGCCTATTTTCTGTTTAGGCAACAACTAATCACTTAATATTATTCCACGGCTGAGAGAACACAAGCATGGTATTTTGGAGTATTTTAATATTTTTCATTAAAAAAAAAAAAAAGAGAGGAGGGATTCGCACCCATAGTGAGCATAATTGTGTGTTTTCTTTATCATTCATTAAAAATAAATAAATAAACCTCACCACACAGTCACACTTAATTGCTAGGGTAATACTGCATGTGAGTCTGTTTATATATTCACTTTTGATATTGATACATTTAGTCACTAATCAGGAGCCAGGGAAAAATATTTGGGGGGCTAAATTAATTCATATAAAATCAAATTTAAAAAATAAAATAAAATACTTGTAATTTTTTAAGTTCATTTTTAACGATAATATGAAAAGAAAAATAAAACAAATTAAGAACATATGAGGTTTTCAAGTGTCAATCGTATTTTTTTTTTTTTTTTAAGGATCATCATAATAATGGTTATTATTATTATTACTATTATTATTATTGACTATATTTTGAATTTATAAGTTTATTCAAATTTGAAGGGTTATAAGTAATTTCATTCACAAACCATATCTATCAAAAAAAAATAAAAAAAGTTCATTCACAAATCACATTCAATAATCATAAGGTAGACCATAAATAGAATTTTGTTTTAGAATTTGGAAAAGGCAAGATTTAATTTTTATATAAAAAATCACCTAAATATAATAATGGTTTTTTTTTTTTTACTATATTTTGAATTTTTTGAAGCAAGATGTTTATTCGAATTTGAGGGATTATAAGTAATTTCATTCACAAACCATATTCAATAATCATAAGGTAAACCATAAATAGATTTTTTTATTTTTTTTAGAATTTGGGAGAGATAAGCTTTAATTTTTATAAAAAAATCAGCATTAATAACTATAATTTAGTACTATAAATAGGGTTTTACAAAATTTTTGAAGAACCAACTTTAATTTCTAGAAAAATTACTATTAATAATTATAATTTAGTACCCAAAATAAATTTTACAAAAAAATTGGAGGACCAATTTAATTTTTATATAGAAAAATGACTATTGATATATATATTTAGTATGCACTTATCTGCAATCCGAAGAAAAAGGTTTTGTGATCTAAAGCATGTACTAAGCGGCTCAAGCTAAAGCGAAGGGCCATCGTGATGACACCCATTTATCCTTTCTTAATATACCGAAACCAATCCAAGATATCAAACTTCAACCATAATTCTTTCTTCTCCATTTTTTTTTTTTTTTTTTCGCCTCAAAATGATTTATGTAAATGGCCACGACAAGAACCTATGCTTGAACAATAAAAATAAATAAAAAATAGTCTCAACAAGGGCTATGCAACAACCAAGTTTTAAAAAAAATGCACAATAGGTAAAAAGGTAGAGATACGCTCACAAAAGGTCCCAAACTTATGTACGAAATGTCCCAACCATGCTTCTCCCTTGCCCAATTAGCTAATTGCACATGCAAATGAACAATGAGAAAAGAATATATATGGAATCCTAAAGCTAGTAATCAAGTACACACCAATCTTACATTCAATTCAATTAAACCAAAGTCCCCAGCAACGGCACCAAAAACTTGATGCGCTCTTACGATCAATGAATATAGATGTGTACAATATAACAATCGAAAAATACCAATTTTAAATTTATAAGGCCACTACACAACTATAATTTGGAAGTATAGTGAGTAAGGATTGAACACATGGACTATAGGCTTGAATTAAACTTAATATTAATGAGCATTTGATTGTTAAAATAATGATTTGGTTGAGTTGATTAATCCTAAAACTAAGCTAGGTGTAATAATAGCTACAGATGCAAAAGTCAAGTAAAATGGAATCGAAAAAGAGAGACTTAGGTATGGATTTCACCGCTAAGCTCATGTAACTACACAAATTACTTCAATTCATTGGAATATTCCATTGCATAAATAAAGACATGGCTACAAGCACACATCATCAATAAAGAATAATAGTACACATGCATTCACTAACTATGAACTATCAACCTTAATAATAAATTATCTACCTAACTACTGAACATTGTGGTATAATCCATCAATAATGAGGATAATCCATCAAATCAAATATCAAGTTTATCCAAATAAGCACAAATGTAAGGCCATCCTTAAACACAATTACAAAAAACATTCAAGGTTGAAATCAATAATAATCCATCCAAATATAAAACAATATGAAGATGATTTAAAATTAATAAAGATGTAAAGTTTATCATTGTTGGGTACAACCAACAAAGAAATCTTGGGCCTAGCAATTATTGATGAGTGCTCAAATGTGATGCATTTTAGCACCTAAGTTAGGGTAGGGTATTTTAGTCCATTCATCTATCTTACTTTCATGTTTAGTACTTATTTTTGTTTTTGTCTATTTTAGGTCAATAAGATTCAAACAGGCTAAAAAGAGCCTTTTAACTCATTTTTAGAGCTAAGGAGAAAACCTGGAAGAAGTTAGAAAAATTGCACCTGAAGAGACTTTGATCGATCGAAGGAAGTCCTGATCGATCGAAGAAAGCTACAAACGATTGAGATCAAGGGCGGTGCCAACTCAGCAATCCGGATAAGGCCAAGAAGATATTTTCATGCCACGTCAGCTTTGATCGATCAAAGTAAGTGTTCGATCGATCGAGAATACGCTGGAAAAGAGCTATTTTATTCCCGCGTTGGCTCGAACTTCACCTACCACATGGGATGCAAGATTGGACCAATTAGAAGTCTAATTTCTGACTTGTTCACTACTCCAACGAGCTTGTATGAAAAGGGAATTGAACTATTTTGTAAAAGATGTTTAGCTTGAATTTTATTTCATTGTAATAGTTAGTTTCTCTCTCTAGAGAAGTTAGAGATTAGGGTTAGAAGAAAAGAGAAGAGTGGAGGCACCAAGAACACATCTCAAAATCTACACACTCTCTTTCTCAATAATTCAACGAAGAAGAAGAGGAATAAGATGGAGCCATGTTTGGGGATTGCCCTTGAGGGTTCCAAGATCACACCCACCTCTTGCATGACTGACTAGACTTCTCCTTGGGGCTTGGATGAGCCCCAAGTTTGTAATATAAAGCTCTATCCCTTTCATACTTTTTGGGGAATAAAATCTTGTGATTAGTGTTTTAGCCTTGTGAATTTAATGAGTCTTGGATTCTCTTTTGATTTCTATGGATTAATCCTTTCTATTAATTCTCTATGATTACATGTTATCTTATATGTTATTATTTAGGAATTGTTCTCTACACTAATTTTTCTATATTAATTGCATGTCTATGTGTGGTTGATTGAGAATATAATGATGACTAGGCATGGTTTTT